ATTTTTCTTTTAAGTGTATATGCATATATGTTGTGGACTGAGTCTGAGGTTGACCAACCCTCAGCAATGATTGATGGATATATAATGTAGTAATGAATTTGAATAAAATAGAGAAATGAAGGGCTGAATAATATGATAGTATATAAATATTGAGTTCAGTATATAATAAATAATGAGTTTGAACCATAATGACTAATGAGAAGAGTAGATCCATAATGAGAAATATAGAAATGAAATGGAAAATATAGAAAGAAAAATGAAATGAAAAAGGAATATGATAAGGATAAATATGGATAGTTCAGAGATACACTAAGGGTGTGAAAGATAGAGGCGATTGAGAAATTTTAGAGAAATAAGAGTAGAATATTTATATATAAATATTATAGCTTGAATGAATAAGCAAGAAACACCTTCATAATCACAGACATAGAACTAGTCCACTAGAAAAAAAAATTATATAGTCTTATTGGATCGGATCATTGAATGAACGAAACTACAATAGGTAATTATGCAAATTGGGGTTAGCCACCTTAAAAATGTTGTACTTGAGTTATTCCTTGATTGCTTATAAATGGAGTATGAGATGATCAAACTCTTATGTATAAAAATAAACCTATACACACAAAACATGTTATCACTTTCTATGCTTTATTAACAAAAGGAGATTAGAGAGACTCTACTTGAAAAATTCATATGACATCTTGTAAAGATGAGATTACTACTTCTTTGGTTACTCAGTCTAACACAAAGTTTCACAAATATAATTTTAATCTTAATAATTATCTTAAAATTTTTGAAATATAAATATCGCAAGTGCATTGAAAATCGTTGTTATTTCCATGTGCTACCTATGTTTGATTCCTTACCTTACCAATATTAGTTTAAACTCTTTAATGAATTATTTATAAAAATAATTTTTAAAAAACAAATAAGTCACAATTTTTAAATTAAAAAAAAATTAGACTTCTAAAAAGTCATAATTTTTAAGTTTAATCCTTCTTAATTTGTTTTTATTTAAAAAGTCTACCAAATATTGTATTTCATTCTTGCACAATTTGTTTATTAGTATTTCATTATTTTTGTTTATTATTTACATCGATAACATCTATTTTAACTCATAAAATCACATGGAGCTAGCGTGAATGAAAATGTGACATCTATTATAGTCTTAAATCTTAATTTTAAAAAGTCTTAACCTTATAATATAAAATTTTATTCTAAAATTTAAAGAATATAATATTGTTAATAGCATATTTTTTTTCATGTCATATGTCAGTCAAATTATATAAATTAACTTAATGAAACAAGTTAATAAATTATTAATATATAACCTAAATAAAAATAAATAAATTTTGAAAGATTAAATTAAAAAATCAAGTCAATTAATTTTTAAAGATTATAATTTTTTAGAAGATCAAAATCTTATTTAAGACAATTATTTAACTATTTGCTTTGAAACCTTTAGGGTTTTGACTTTTGATCCATATTTTGAATTAACCAATAATATTATTTAAATATGTGCACTGTATTTATTTTCATGATCTTTTTATTTTTTTAGTATAAAGTAATATTTTAAATTTTTATAATATTATAAAAAATCTCTCAGTATTTATTACAAAAAATAATAAAGATTTAGTTTTAACCTCTAACATTTTTCTTATGATCATTTTATTCTTATAAAAGATTATATAATTGGTTTACTAATGGCCATGTTGAACAAATCTTTATATATCAAAATGAGGTAGTCCGAGGGCATTTTTTATTCTCAAATCAAAGGTATTTTTGTAATCCACATTTTAATATATCTTTAAATTTTTAATCACAATAAAATACTTATTAATATTTATTTATCATAACTAGTCAATAATATTATACTTTGAACTTCCTAATTTTTTAATCTATCACAGTCTTTCAAATTTTATTATTTTAATAATTATTTTAGTAAGTATTATTTTTTGTTAATATTTGTAAGTTTCTACATAATAATAATAATAATAATAATAATATATTATTATTATTATTATTATTATTATTATAGAAGAAGATCTAAGATATTTATCATCTTCTACATGGATGTGTTTTGAATATAGAGTGCTTTGATGTTAGAGACAATCAACTAACCGCTAGACTAAACAAATTTCATATTTGATAAACTACAATAAAAAAATTCTCATTAGTCCTTTATCATCCTATCGTTTTGCCTTTCTGGTGTTTCACTTAATGTTAGAGAAGAAACGTGATTTTATCTTTTTTAAATAAATGTCGACACTTATAGTTTGTTCGATGATGATTTTATTTCTTATAGTTAATTTCAAACATCCGTTCCCTTTAAAGTTATGTTCTATTATTGTTTTAAGAGATCTTTTACATACTCTAGTGAAACATTTTAAAGACTCTTTTATATATATATAATAATCTTTTCATATTAGTGTAAATTTAAAAAATTTTACATTTAAATAAAAAAAATTATTTAACCTATTAAATGTAAATTAAATAAAAAATTAATATTGAGTGTATAAATTTTTAGATTTACACCGATAAAGATCATATCTTTTATATATATATATATATATATATATATATATATATATATATATTCAATAATTATTAATTACATTATAGATTTTATAGGCACTTTCTCGATCAATCTTATATAATGATTCACTTAGATTAGATGTAAATGATATATATACATCGAAAGTATATTTCTATTGGATTCTTTAGAATAATATTAGTAATTTCTCGTCAAAATACACTTGTTCACAAGTGTCTCAAAATCTATAATCTCCATAGACACCAAATATTCCTAAATTCTGTTGATATTTTCTCCCCATTATCATCACTGCCAACTAATTACCTTACATGCCTTGAACAAACTTTGCAACCATTTCAGGCTAATTCATCATAATCCAGTTTTTCTTAACTAATATTAATTTTTTAAAAGAATTAAATCCTTAAAATTTGAGTTGTGGTACTTGCAATTTTCACAAAATTTGTACTCATTAAAATAATGATATCTAAACCTGTATGGTATGTTTGGATGTAACAGAAAATGAGTAAAAAATAATAAAGTGAGAAAAATTGAGAAATGAGATAGAAATGACGAGTTCTTTAGATGGATAAAAATAAGAGAAAAAACAACCAGAAAACTATACTTGTTTGGGTGACTGAAAAAGAGAATACAAGACTAGATTTTTATAAAAAAAATTCATAATAGCAATAAATATTTTATTTTAACAAAAAATAATATAATAAATTTCCTTAATTATGTAATCTTTTAGTTATTTTTATTTTTATATTATTTTCAACAAAATATAATAAAAAATTCACCACTTTTACAATTATGTAATATTAACTTATGCACTTACATATTTATATTATGTGCTTCACATATTATATATTATATGACTTAATTAATAGTTAAAAATTATTTATACAAAGGTGCTAGTTTTATTTTCATGCTTCGTACTCCCTTATTATATAAGTTATACCTTAAGGATATATAATGATAAATCAATTAATAGTAACTTTTTAAAATTTTTTAATATTTAACATTGAGTAAATCTTCTATTTATTTTTTAAATTTCTATTTTTTTATATTAATTTTTTAAATTTAAATTTTTAGTTTCTAAAATTAACAGCAGTAAAATTTTAGTTCTTATTATTATGAAATGTTAAAATTAAATAATAAGGTAATGATTTATTATGTTAAATGATATGTAAATGAAGATAAAATGACAACATTTTAAGATTTGTTAAAAATAATTTTATTTTTATTTTTAACTTTGAAATTTTTGAATAGTAATTCCTTTTTTTCCTTTTCTTTTTTTTATTACCTTTTTCTTTTAAGTTGAGTTGTATTAAAAATTAATATAGCCGATTATAAATAGAGTTAAAATCTAAACTTTTTATATTTGGGAAATATATGTTAGGCAATATTAAAAATTATTATTTTGAATTTTTTAAAATTAAAATTTCAAAAATTTACTCAATTGGTTGACGCTTTAATTACAACTTATTATTATTTATTTGATGTTTGGTTTGTCCTTAAGAATTCCATATTTAAAAGTGTTTGAATAATTATTACTACTGGTAAAAATAATACTAACATATGCCCTCACTGACATATTTATATTATGTGCTTCAAATATTATATATTCTATGACTTAATTAATAATTAAAAATTGTCTATGCATATATGCTATCTTTGTATTCATGCTTCATACTCCTTATTGTAGAGTTCATCAGTAACTTTTTTTAAAAAAATATTATAACATTTAACATTCAATTAATCTTCTATTTATTCCTTAAATCTGTATTTTGTTTATATTAATTCTTTAAATTTAAAATTTAAAATTTTAAAAGAAACAACGAGAAACTTTTTAGTTCTTATTATCATGAGAGGAGATGTTAAAATTAAATAATAAGATAATAATTTATTATATTAAATATAAGACATTAAGATGACAATGTTTTAAAATTTATTAAAAATAGTTTATTTTTATTCATAAATTTAAAGTTTTTGATAGTAATGTTTTTTTTCTACTTTAAATTTTTTCATGACTTCTACCTTTTAAGTTGGATTGTATTAAAAATTAATATAGTCAATAATAATTAGAATTAAAATCTAAAATTTTTATATTTAAGAAACTTATTTTGGGCTGTATTAAAAATTAATATTTTAAATTTTTTAAAATTAAAATTTCAAAAATCTAGTACAATTGGGTAAGGCTTTAATTACAACTTTTTATTATTTATTTGATGACTTATTTGTCTTTGATAATTCTAAATTTAAATAACTATTTTAATTTAAAAAATTATATGATATGTATACAATCTATAATTGATATTAAAAAATCTATAAAATCCGTTTAAATACAAACAAAATCAAGACCCGCGGATTAATAATGTATAAAATCTTTAATAGATATTAAAAAATTTCATAAAATCGAACAAGTTATAGTTTAATAATTATAGTAACTTCTATAAATACTCTGAACATGCGTGTTATGTCATTGACATGCAAAAGCAATTGGTTCAAAGTATCTGTACTTCTGATTTTGAAGATAAATCTCGACAATGGCTGTCTCAAACAACGTATGTACCCATCTGACGTTGGGTAAGTGTCCATGTACTGCAGCAGAGACAGAAGAGAGTGATTCCAACAGCAACGAGGTTTGCACCCATTTAACGTTGAGTGTGTGTCAGTGCACTAGAGCTGAGATACATGTCTCTTCAACCAAGAAAAGGAAACATTGCCACAAAGGTCCCTTTGTTGCAAAAAAGAAGGCATGCAAAGACTTGGTGGTACAAGAGGATGCTCTGGTGGTACACGATGATGACGATCCTTGGAAGATAAAAAAGGTGTTGAAAGAGAGTGATCTTGGCAACATGAGTAGGCTCATGCTAGGGAAGGATTTGGCAGAAAAGTTTGTGTTACCTGTGTTGGGTGATGCTGCTGAGATTGAGAAGGGAGTTAGTGTTAAGATTTGGGATGTGGACACCTACACCATGCACTCTCTTGTTTTCAAGAAATGGGCTTCTTCAAGATGCTACATTTTTATGGGAAAATGGGTCCAAGATTTTGTCAAGAGAAGGGGCTTGAAGAAAGGGGATGAGATTGGCTTTTACTGGGATCCATATAATAGTCACTTCAATTTCTCTGTTCTTAGAGTCAATTAATATGAGATAGCTCGTGTACAAAGAGCTTAGAAATCATTCAAAATTGTGTATTTCATGTTTTAAGTTCTAGTAGTTGTAAGGTTGGAGGGGTTTTAATATTCTTGCTTTCATTTATTATAAGCCTTCTCAGATCTTATGTTGCTTTTATGTGTAAGTATTATGCTTTCTATTAATGACATTTGTTGCTTGTTCCAAAATCATGGTAGGCTATCGATGAAGAAATATATCATACAGAATTACTCTTTAAATTAGTAGTTTTTAAAGTATGTTGTTTTTGTGGTTTATGGTCTAAATTCTGAGATTCTTGTAATTGAAATTTCATACTACGATTTCAATTGCATCTTGATTATGGTTACAACACGCTATGAGTTGATGCATGTGGCAATTGTTTGATGATGAAAGAGCAATTTAATGTTTACGAGCTACATATTTGGTGACCACTGTGATAACAATTTTATAATAACACATAATTATTAAACTTTGACTAATATACTTTCTATTTCGACCACTCAATTGTCTCTTTCAAGAAAGAAAGGAAAAGTCAAATGTCCCGATAATTTGAATTCCTAATTTTCGGCCTCTCAAGAAATATCTTTATAAGCCATTTTTGTTGCCGATAAAAAATTTGAAATGAAATTCTAACTAATTTGTGTTGAGTACTTTGCAAGATGCTACGAATTGATGGGAAAATGGGTCCAAGTTTTTGTTAAGAGAAGGGAAGGGGCCTTAAGAAAGGGGATGAGATTGGTTTCGTGCATAGGAAGGAAGGACATAAGAAATTATTCCAACTTTTGTTAAAAAAAAATTATTTCTTAAGATTAATTTCATATTTTAAATTTTCTTAAGTCATATGTTTAATTTTGATAAATTAAATAACTAAATACTTAATTACTTAATTTTATTTATTTATTTTATTATAAATTTTTCGTAAAATCGATTTGTAATTTATATTGCATTTAGTTGTACAACAAAATATAAAATATTTATGTATAATTTACGCTATCTAAAATTTTATTTCATTTACAAATAAAAATATTTTTTAATAATATGCAATATAGTTGTTTGATCTTCTATAACTTTCTTTCTGTATTATTTATTGTAGGATGCATGTATAATCATATTATATTGTATTGTTATAATTTTATCAAAATAATTTTAATTTCCACATAAACTTTCTATGACTAAACCTAATTTTTATCAACCAATTTTATAATTTTTTTCTTTTCTAATATACTAATTAATATTTCAATGATAAATTTTCTTCTTTTAGAAATAAAAACAGCAATACTTATTTTTTAGGAGTTAAATAAAATTGTTTAAATTAAAATAAATTTACACAATTAATTTAAGATAATATAGACATTGTAAGGTAGCTCATTTTTTATTTAAAAAGTCATATTATTTTAAAAATATTTTAAAATAAACTTTGACAATAACTCTTATTTTTTAGAAAATATTTTTTATTCATAAAAATATATTTTTAAAAAATATTTTTTATTCATAAAAATATATTTTTAAAACATTTTTGCCGTTACGATTAGCAATCGGTAATTGCAATGTAAAAAATGTTTATAGTTTTTTTTTTATTAAATAAATATTTTCGTTAATCAATTCAAATATATTTATTCCTTTTATTAAATAGGATTAATTTCATATTTTAACTTTTCTTAAGTCATATTTTTAACTATAATAAATTAAATAACTAAATACTTAATTACTTAATTTTATTTCTTTATTTTATTATACATCTTTCACAATATCAATTTATAATTTATATTAAATTTAGTTGTCCAATAAATTATAAAAGGTTTATGTATAGTTTAAGCTATTTATAACACTCTACTTTATAAACCCTCAATTAGAGAATTAGTAATTTTTTTTATATACTAATAATCTTCCTCTCATATATAATATCGATGTATTAAACGATTAATCGCAAAAATAAACTTTAACAAACAATTTTTTCGTAATACATTTTAGAATTTTGTCGTTGCATAAAGTACTTAAGGTAAACTTTCATAAATGTTTAAATATTCTTTTACAGTAATATAAAGGGAAAAATGGTTAATAGTTTTCCGCATTACTCAACACTGTATACTGGATAACTCAATTACCATTTCATCTAGCAACATAATTACATACAGATAAAATATTTGTTATAATTCTTCAAAATAATAAGGGCAACACCGGAGATGACTTTCGACAGAGCAACACAACTATACAAAAAGAGTGGCTTCTACCTGGTATCATAAAGGCCTATGTACAACAAAAGAATACCTACTACTAACCTTTGCCACTATACAAAAAAAAAAAAAAAAGCATCAGTCCTACTCCGAATCTATATCTTCAGACTCAAGATGAATCTCCCTTATCTGAGTCCATCTTCGAGTCGCTAGACTCATCGGTGTTTAAAGGATCATAATCCTCCAGAATATCAATATCCATTTTCTCCTCCTTAGCTGGAGGGGGATTTGGTGGTGATATGGGCTGAAAAGGATTATTATTACCTAAGTCAAAGGTTAGTCTAGTCCTTATGATAATAAGGACACCACCTCCAGGTCCTGGTACCTTTCTCTTAAAAAATATAGTAAGTATGTCTACAAAAGTATGTGTGAGTCTATTTCAATCGCGTTTCCATCAGTGTGGCTCCGGGCTAATGAGCCTGATCGTCATATTCATTTGGTGTGGAATCTGGGTCATCTCCCTCTGCTACAGGTGGTAACCGATCAAGTTCAATGAGTACCGCAGGTACAGAGAAAATAAATAAAATAAAAAAATGATAGGGTGAACCACAGTTCATATATCACATTAAAATTAAACATCATAAACATTCACAGATCAATCGCATTCCAAATGAATGATGATGGTGGTGCATAATCCTAGTTTGTTTTTCTAAAATATCCATATATGCGGGCCCGAATCATTTCTTAAATCAGTGCTAGGATACTCAGGTATTGATAAATTAAATAATTTTCTTAAGTCATATTTCTAACTTTGATAAATTAAATAATTAAATACTTAATTACTTAATTTTATTTCTTTATTTTATTATACATCGTTCACAATATTGATTTGTAATTTATATACACCATGCACTCTCTTGTTTTCAAGAAATGGGTTTCTCCAAGATGTTACATTTTTATGGAAAAATGGGTCCAAGATGTTACATCATTCCTGCTTTCATTTGATATAAACCTTTTCTGGATATTATGCTGTTGTTTTTATGCATATACTTTCTATAGAAATAATATATATAAGTTTGCAATTTTTTTTTTTTTGGCTATATAAGTTATACATTTTATTGGGTCCATGCTACTACTACATTTATTGCTTGTTCCAAAATTGTGTATTTTATCGCTTGTCTCTCAAGATTATATTTCATAACTAATCAAATTAAGAGATCTCAAGTCTTGATTGTATGTTTAGTTTAAACAGAGATACAGCTATTAATTGATTGTAATGTTCGGTGCTCCAATTTTTCATTTTAATTTAATCTTAAGTTTAGATTTTATTTTATTTTTTAAAAAATATGCAATACTTGAATGCCAATTTTATATTCAAAATGAATATATATTTTCAGTTATAATATCTGTATTTTTTATTTAGAAATGTATCTATTCTTTAGTAAAAGAAAGGAGAGAGATAAGTTTTATTGGGTTAAAACGGGAAGATTTACTGTATTAATGTTCATTAGTTGTGCAGAAAACATATAAACATCATTATCAAATAAAAAAAAAATTATTTCAACACTTGTAAAAGAAGTTTTTTGCATTTTTTTTTATGATACAGGTTTGACATTTTCAAAAACAAATCAGCCGCATCAAATTGATAAATATAAGATGTATTTAAAGCCTCAACCAATTGAAATACAATTTTAAAAATTTAATTATAAAAATTCAAAACATTAATTTTTAATATAGCCCAATTTAAGTTTCTCAAACCTTGAACCCACGATTAGGTCTGACACAGAAGAACTAAAAATAAGCAACATATGAAGCACGAATCTGAAACCAACATGTCTGTATAGATATTCTTTACTGTTAATTAAGTCACATTAACTATTGTAAATCATTTTACCTTCTCATACAATCTTTCTATGATTTATTATTATTGTAGTTAATCTAGTTTTGACAGTTCTTGTAACTGTACCTGCAGTTGTTGTAACCACTTAAAATTACAGAATAATTACTCTTCGATGTAAGTTAAAGATTGTAATATTACTATTATAAATATTACATTATATTTATGTATTTGAGGTGATAATATAATAAAATTCTTTTATTATTATAATTTTTTTTATTTTTAACAAAGTGGTATCAAAAGTTTGGTTTGATTTTGAAAGTTAAGAGAAACACTTTTAGAGTTGAGAGATGACAAATAATGACATAAATTTATTTCAATTTCTATGTCTCATTAGAGGAAATTATGATAATTGGTGTCGATGCATGAAAGCTTTATTAGGATATCAAGATGCTTGTGAAATTATGTAGAGAAAGGTTATGATAAATCTTAAGATGAGGCTATTTTGTCACAAAATGAGAAAGACGTTTTGATGAAACAGAAGAAAAAAAGATCAACACCCCTTTACATTTATCCATCAAGACTTAAATGAAGTCATGTTTAAGATAATGTTTAATGCAATCACCCCTAAAGAAGTTTGAGAGATTTAGAAAACAAATCTTGAAGGGATTAATAAGATAAAAAAGATGTGTTTACAAACACTAGGAGGAGAGTTTGAATCCTTATGTATGAAGAAATCTGAGTCTATTTCTAATTTTGGTAATTAGAGTAGCTATGAAGCATGGAGTGGAGTTCTATTCAACAATCAATAACATGAATGAGCTCTAATGCCACCCTTGGAAATAAAAGAGAAGAATTATCATAATAGAAAAATTTTATTATATTATCATACCAAATACATGAGTATAATTCACTATTTATAGTAGTGCTATTATAACTTTTAACTTACATTAAAGAATAATTGCTTTGTAAATGTTAAG